CGTCTCAGTCATGCATCCTCAAATAGACTCAAGTCTTTGATTAGTCAGGGTCTTTTGGGTTCTGTTGGTTTTGAGTCTTTTAATTGTGTGGATTGTTCGTTGGGAAAACAATCTGCTTTATCATTCTCTCATAGTACTTCTGTTATGGATACTCTATTTCATTAGTTCACTCTGATATTTGGGGACCTTCACTCGCTAAATCTATGAATGGTTCTTGTTATTTTGTGTTTTTTTATGACTACTCTCGCTTTATGTGGATTTTTTACTTCATGCGGCACCGTTATGAACTTTCCTCTATTTATATGGACTTTGCTAAAATGATACATACTCAATTTTTCTCCACCATTAAATCTCTCCACACAGACAATGCTCTTGAGTATACAGATTCTTCAGTCGTTCGTTTCCTATATGATTAGGGTATTTTTGTCCAGCGCTTATGTCCACACGCCTCTCCACAAAACGGTCGCGCCGAACGTAAATACCGCCATATCCTTGATACCGTCCGCACCCTTCTCTTATCTGCCTCTTGTCCTGATCATTTTTTTGGGAAAGCCGCACTCTACACTATAAATCGTCTCCCTTCCTCTGTCATGGGTAATGTTAGTCCATTTGAAATACTATTTAATCAAGCCCTTAATTATAGTCTTCTCCGCCTGTTTGGTTGTGTCAGCTTTGTCCTCCTCCCTCCTCATAAGCGCACTAAGTTAGAACCTAGCGTGCGTCTGTGTTGCTTCCTGGGATACGAGGTAGACCATAAGGGTTATCGTTGTTGGGATACTATTTCCAATAGGTTACGTATTTCTCGTCATGTCACATTTTGGGATAATACCAAGTTCTCTACCTTGTCTCACTTTCAAGTTCTCTTTGATCGTTTATCTCCGTTCTTTACCTTGTCATCTCCACATCTATTTCCTTCCGACGATGCGGCTCCGTCCTTTGCTCCTGAGTCCCGATTGCGCCTCCTGAGCCAACGCAGATCCCCGAGCCCACCACTACTCCCGACTATGATCTGCCACCATCACCAGATCCTAACACTACTTTAACCTTGGACCCTGATTCTGGCCCTCGCCGTTCCACTCGGGTTAGTCATCTCCCTACTCACTTACTCGATTATCGCTGTTTCTCTGCCACCTTGTCCCACAATGAGCCCAGGTCCTTTCGTGAGGCGTATGCGGACCCATTGTGGCGGCAGGCTATATCTGAGGAGTTACAGGCTTTGGAGAAAACCCATACATGGGATATGGTTGATCTTCCTCAAGACAAGAAACCTATCAGCTGTAACTGCGTATTCCGGTTTAAAATACACTCTGATGGATCCATAGAGTGCTACAAGGCTTGTTCGGTAGCTAAAGGCTACACCCAGGAGTAAGACTATGAGGAAACCTTTGCTCCCGTTGCTCGTACCTCCATCCATTGTTTTATAGCAATTGTTTCCGCTCGTCGGTAGCCTTTACATCAGCTCGATGCCAAGAATGTATTCCTACATGGTGATCTATCCGAGGACATCTACATGTCCCCTCATCCCGGTTTTGCCACATCCTCTAAGGTATGTAAACTTCGCCGTGCTCTATACGGTTTGAAACAGGCACCCCGAGCTTGGTTTTCAAAATTTAGCTCTGCTCTACTCCAGCTTGGATTTACTTTCAACTATCATGACTCTGCTTTATTCACTCAACACGGGTCCGCTGGTGTTACTATTATGTTACTTTATGTGGATGACATGATCATCACATGAGATGATCAGTCCGGTATCTCTAAACTACAGGATCATCTCCACAATCACTTTGAAATGAAGAGTTTGGGGCCTCTTCGGTACTTTCTCGGTCTTGAGATCTCCGACACCTCCGACGGGTACTATCTCTCTCAAGCTAAGTATGCCTCCGACCTTCTGTCTAGAGCAGGTCTCACTGACTCTAAGACCGCGCCTACGCCTCTTGAGTCTAACTGTCGCCTTACTCCGATGGATGGTGCCCCTCTTGACGATCCAACCTTATATCGTCAGCTGGTGGGAAGCCTGATATATTTGACTGTTACTCGACCTGACATTGCCTATGTTGTTCATATTGTCAGTCAGTTCATGTCCACTCCTCGGATGACTCATTATTCTGTTGTTATGCAGATTCTTTGGTACGTCAAAGGCACTCTCATCCATGGTCTCCATTATTCAGCTCACTCGTCCTTGGTTTTAACTGGGTACTCTGATGCTGATTGGGCGGGAGATCACACCGATTGTTGCTCGACTACTGGATTTTGTTTCTTTCTCGGTGATTTGTTTATTTCTCAAGAAGAAACAGACGGTCATCTCCCGGTCTAGTGCGGAGTCCGAGTATCGAGCTCTTTTCGATAACACTACCGGGCTTCATGGCTTCGATGGTTACTGGCTGATCTCGGTGTGTCTCAGCCCTTTGCTACTACTATTCATTGTGACTGTCACCTTGTCCGTCATTACGTTGCTAATAGAAATGTCTCCTTGTCCTCCACTTCTTCTGCTAATCAGACTGCTAATGGCTCCACCAAACCTCATTTACCCGGCCGCTTTGAGTCGTTCTTGAGCAAACTCGAACTTGTTTTCACATTCCCACCTTGAGTTTAATGGAGGATGTTGATGTATATTGTAATATATATATATCTATATTTATGGTAATATATCAATATCTATATATATGACGATGTAACTCTAATTTTAGTCAAGAAATCAAGTTATTCCGTTTATTCCAACAAATCCATTTAGGAACTTGAAGACTTTATCCTTTTCTTGTTAACGTTGATATGTCATGAAATAACCGTCATTATATATCCCACATTTGCAGTGTTGGGGTGGCCTGAAGATCTTCAACTCTTCCCATATCACTTTGAGGTTGGAGTAGTATTCATCAATATATTTTGTATCCTGCACAACTCCACATAAATCTCCCTGCAATTTACATACCATGTTGTCATCAGAGATTGAAAATCTTGTTTGTAAAACCATCCTGGTTTCATGATCATTTTGCATGTAAAATACAGTAGAAGCAAGTTGACGAGACATTAATTTAAAAAGCCAAACAATGATCAAATCATTGCAGCGCACCCACGATGTATGAGCGATTTCATAGATATCGGGTTTAATGAGAGTACCATCAATGAAGCCTAACTTATTTCTGATTGATAGTGCGAGTTTGAAAGATCTGATCCAAGCATGGTAGTTTGGCCCTATCAGTTCCTGTTGCACCAGCACAGAACCATAACTGTCACTGGGATGGATGAAAAATGGAGAATTCATGTATGTGACTTCCAGTTCTCTTCTACCCAATACAGGAAGTGTTACTTCTCCAGTAGAAGACAAGCTTCCACTTCCAGCCATGGTGTTGAACCAAAAAATACACTGGAGGGTTAAGGTATTAGCTCTGATACCATAAAAAAAAATGATGACTAATGAACAAAGAAGAAAATGAGGAATAGAGAGAAAGATGGAGGATAACTTTTGAAACTATTATTTCATTAAAGAAAAGTCACTCAATTACAATAAAGGACCTTGTATATATATACTACCTAATGGCATATAATAATTACAAAGATTTACAAAGACTCATCCAATCTATTCTTGATTCTTGTGTAATTAACTTGATTCTCTTAAACAAACTTTGCCTTGTGTTCCATTTTCTTTTTAGAGGCTGGTGCAATTGGTGGTATACTTCTTTGTGATCCACACTGGGCATTATCCAATTATGTTCTCACGTATGTTGTGTGCATACACCTCCAATTCCTTCCATGGGCTTGGGCTCTCATTTGCACAATATATGTTTCATTGGGCTCATGACAAAAGTTGTTGGATCCATGGTAATGTTGTTAGTATATGTGGTAATATTGTCATAGGAGGTCACTTTCAAGCAGAAGTGGAGGGCATTATCCACAACATCAAACAACACTTCAAAATGAGGGAATTGGGAAAACCAAGATATTTTCTTGGGGTTGAAATAGCCTACATGGAAAATTGATGTGTCCAAGAAAATACACACTGAATTTATTGCATGATTATGGGCAATTGGGAGCCAAATTCCTCCAAGATTGCAATTGAACTAGGGAGCAAGTTGATACGTGAAGATGGGATACTCTTGGAGAATCCCAACTATTTGTCTATAATATCTTGGTAGCGATTTCAAATATAACGCTGCCGATATTTAATGGTGTTGATACAATTGGTTGGATTGGAAAGGCAGAGCATCAATTTCGACTAGACGATGTCATAGGGAATCGTCAAGTACTATTAGTAAGGGTGGCCATGGAAGGAAGGATGTTGAATTGGTTATGCAACTTTCGATCTAGGCATGAGGATTCATTATGATGTGATCGATGCAAATATCCCTAAAACCCGAATTATGCTTGCGTAATGAAATTGACACATACGCTAATCATGGACGAAGGGAAGTCGTGGGACCTCCTCGGGGTAGAACAAGTGGATGATTGAGATAGTAAGTTGTCAGGAATACAGATAGGGGGATAGAAGAGGAACATAGTGGATATGTCCTTATCCTTGTATTCACTAGCGGACTTTACAGGTACACAAACTATTAAGGTTTATGAAATGCTCAATGGAATACAATTGGCGATACTTTTATATAGTTGTGCGAGTCATAATTTCGTGTCGCAATAATTGGTTGGGAGATTATCATTGCCAATACAACATGTTGGTTTGTTTACAATGACGTTCGGGGACAGAAGACAACTGCCGTGTACATAAGTCTGTAGGGCTGTACATTTGGAGGTTGGCAAGGCAAGTATTATGGCCGATCGTTATACATTTTTGTTTGGTAGTGTGGATGTCCTAATAGGAGTTGCGTGGCTGCAAACTTTGGGTGGCATACGGTTAATTGGGGAACTATGACAATGACATATAACCAAGGAAATGAGCGTATGACCCTTCAAGGAGAGCTAACCCTATTGCGCTCACCGGTGGCACGTCAAACCTTGTTGAAAACAGCAAATGCAGACTTTTAGGCTTTAGTGGTAGAACCGACGAGTTATGTAGACCCGATGAGCCATATCAACAATTTCAGCCAACAGTGTAGGCCGGGTGGATCGCAAGAAAGTACCAGAACAGTATCCAGACAAGTTTGAGGAGTCGGGAAGATCACCACCAAGATGCGAGAATGATCATCGTAGAAAACTCTAATCAGGTTCTGGTTCGATGTCCGTATGGCCTTATCGTTATGTTCAATTGCAAAAAGATAAGATTGGACACATGGTGAAAGAGATGTTGACAATAGGGATCCTTCATACGTGTCTCGCCGTGACACCGGAACGACAACGCTCCAACCTTCATCAACCGGGTCTGCAATGTACCACACCTGAGAGGCTTGGGTCGCTAAGATGAAAGGCTCATCCGTGGGCAAGTTCTTGGGGTACATCAAATACTTAAAGTTCACACATTTATATTTGAACTCATCCTCTTTAACGCCCCTCTCCAGATCCACCCAGTCACATTTTAAAAGGAGATACTTCTGTTGATTGCTATAGTACACTTCCACAATGTCCGTAAGAATCCCGTAATATGCCACGGAACCTTCTCGTGGGTTATGGTCCCTAGCTGAGGCATAACTCACTGTATCTGCCGTAACCATAACACCTGCACACTGTGTCCTCTTCCTTGCATCCCGGTCTTGAACACGATAGCGTATTCCTGACACAATGCACGAAGAGTACCGTGTTGCATTGCATAATGGTCCACCCGCCAATGCACGGATCTCCGCTGAGATTGGGCACTCATCATTATTCGTCGGATCATCTACCTACATTTGATGTAAAGTAGTTCATGAACACTCGTGATTTCAATGTTTTTTGGGAGTGTAGTCAAGATACCACGTACGGACGATGTAGGCGGTACTCACATATGATTGAAACCAAGACGCAAATTGTTCGTTGTGCTGCTGGTGCACCTCACGTGGGGGTGCGCGAGTTCGACATGACCTAATAGTATCAAGGTGAATCCTACAGTGCAAAAATAAAAGTCGAAGATATTCAACACAGGTCGGATACGCATACAAGTATTGTTAAATTGATGTGAAAAAACCTTCGCAACGGACTGATTTCATCTATATTTCCTAGGATGTAGCAATGAATTTGGTGCATCGTATTGTAATCAAGATTGAACCTAGAACCAAACAATCCTTTCCCGTGTTGTGTCCCGTCCTCCTCCCCTCGAGCAGCCCGGTTCTCTTTGGTCTCTATGTCTCCGAGATATCTTGAGCAGAAAGTCACGCATTCTTCCATGAGGTATCCACGTGCAATCGAACCCTCAGGTTGTGCCCTGTTCCGTACGTACCTCTTCAGAGTACCCAAGTACCGCTAAATGGGATACATCCACCGGTACTGCACCGGACCGGCCACCATAGCCTCCTCAGCCAAATGGATAGGCAGATGCTCCATTACATCAAAGAATGAAGGTGGGAATAGCTTTTCAAGATGGCATAGCGTCAAAGAAATTCTTTCTTGGATTCGCTCCAGTTCACGAACTGTGTTATGAGCTGAGCACATCGAATTGAAGAAGTTACAAAGTTCAATCAACACGAGCACAACATTTTTGGGAAGACACCTACAGGAAGTGTTGAATCAGCACCTTCAGTTATATTTAGAGGAGGCATATATCATGTTAATTAAAATAATTGCGTTTCAAGGGTATACCGTCGGGCAGCAATAGGTAGAATTCGTTGCATAAGAACATGGCAATCGTGGCTCTTAAGTCCCCATATTAGTTGTTGTTCTACCTTCACACGACGCGATAAGTTTGAACTGAACCCATGAGGTGGTCGGAGGTCCTTCAACACAGATAGGAATATCCGTTTTTCGGGGTTACTCATGGTGTACGTAGCTGCCGGCAAATATATAGCGCCCCTAGGACCCGATACCGGGTGTAAAGAACTACGTATTTGCATCAACTGTAAGTCTTTCCTCGTGTTCAGATTGTCCTTTGTTTTCCCCTTAGTTCCCAACAATGTATACAGTACATTCTCACACACATTCTTTTCAATGTGCATCAAGTCGAGGTTGTGACGTACCTCATTCTCAGACCAATAAGGGAGCTGAAAGAATATGCTCTTTTTTTTCCACACCTGTTGCTGCCCGTCCACCCCCCGGCGACGCTTGCGAGACCCCTGTGCAATGCGTTTCTCAATCAAGTCAACCGTACGATACTCAGTAGGCATATCCTGAAGCTGCTGCAGAAGTTCAGCGCCGGTCAAGCGAGAAGGCTTTCCGTCAAAGCTCATCGAACCGTCAAATGCATGTTTATCAAAGCGCATTCTATGCCCAGCCGGCAGGAACCGTCGATGCCCGCAATAGCTATACTTATGTCCATTTTTCAGGTATCTGGAATGAGTTTTTAAACCACAAACAGGGCATGCATTCGCCCCACGAGTCGGCCACCCTGACAACATACCGTAACCGGGAAAATCACTAATAGTCCACAGCAATGCAGCTCGCATCTGGAAATCCTCCTTAGTACTCGCATCGTACGTCCGAACACCATCATACCAAAGCTCCTTAAGCTCATCGATCAAAGGTTGAAGGAAGACATCAATCCGATCCCCCGGGCCATGCGGGCCGTCTATAATCGTAGAGAGGATGAACGATGGTTGCTTCATGCACAGCCACGGAGGTAGGTTATATATCACAAGTACGACGGGCCAAATACTATAACTCACACTCATATTCCCAAAAGGGTTGAAACCGTCAGTGGCCAGACCGAGGCGTACGTTGCGAATCTCCTCTGAGAATGTCGGGTACCGATGATCGAAACTCTTCCACGCAGGACTATCTGCTGGATGACGCATCTTGCCATCGTCTACACGCCCTTCGGCATGCCATCTCATAGAAGATGCAGTTTTGGAAGATACGTACCATCGCTGCAATCGCGGAATTAATGGAAAGTACCTTAACTTCTTCACTGGAGATCTATCTTTACCCTGTGTAAATCGCTTTTCCCCACACACAACACAAACCTCACGGTCAACATCTTCCCCGGTAAACAACATGCAATTGTTGATGCACGCATGGATAGTCTTGCATGTGAACCCCAAGTCCTTGGTCAGCTTATTAGCCTCATAGAAGTTCTTCGGAAGGACAACATCGTCTGGAAGTGCATCCCGTAACAGCTCTAACAGCAAATCAATAGAATTATTAGACCAGTGGCACAAAACCTTCAAGTGCAAAAGCCGTGCGATAAACGAGAGTCTACTCATCTTCTTGCACCCTGGTATGAGCTCTTTCTCTACATCTTCTAACATCTTTCTATACCCCTTACTGCCATGATGTATATGTTCATTTTCGTCATCCCTATGAGGTTCATTTCCACTGGGCCCCGGATCGGTGTGCTCTGTATATGCACACTCTCGCAATAGAAGTTCTAGTTCCTCCTCCCAACGCATTGGCATATTGTCGTTTGCAACAGCAGGGTTCACCTCTCCTTCTCCGTGGCAAGTCCAAACCTTGTAGGTTTGGTCGAATCCATAACGAATACAATGGAGCAAGACATCTCTACGAGATTTTGTTAAGCGATTTCCGCAAGATGTACAGGGGCAATAGATGCAAGATTCAGAGCTACGATCTTTAAATGCGAAATCTAAGAAAGCCCTGACCCCGTCCAAATATTGAGCGGAGATATGGTTCGCATCGTCTATCCAACTCCTATCCATCTAGCAATATAATATACATGCGATTCCATCAACAAAATATGCAACCAAAAACATATAAGTACAACATAACCTTCACCGATATAATAGGAAACATGGATGCTCTTCATGACGCTAGCATTATAATTTATCACAACATTAAGGCACATGGACCAAAATCAGCAGCCCTCACCACTTAAAAATCTTCCATAGATGCAATGTAAATAGTATTATATGGATATATTTCCCGTCACAAATGCTGGGCCGTCACAAATAGACACATCAGCAGCAAGAGAGAGTGAGAAAGAAGTGAAAAAGTTTCTGAAATTGACAAGACATGGGGAGCATGGGGGGGACATCCGTGTGTATGCTGCAACCACTATATCTATCTATCTATCTATCTATATGGGACTGGAAGATGGAGATTGAGATGGAAGACGTGTACTATAAGAATTTTGAGATAGATATACATATATATATAGAGGTACAGAAATGGCTCTCTACCCCAATTAGAGGGATACAAATAGGAATAGTACACAGCACCAAAGCCACAAGATTCACTGTATCTGTTTCCACCAAAACTGCATTTGCATCATCTTCTTCTCACATTACTACTCTCGCCCTCATCCTTTACTCTCTACTCTCTACTCCCTACTCTCAATGCAAAGTGTAAATAAGCCCTGGATTTTATCCTTAATTTATAGAAATGCTATAATGAATATATGTATGGGTGACTGTATGTGTATACGCATACTACAAATGCAGGATAACGAAATCTGATAGTAAATTACCTACGATCAGAAAACTGAACTGCAATTCAAGAAGCATGCAACTTGAGGTATTTCGCAATTCATAAATCTTGTTAAATGCTTCCCAAAAGCCGAATTAAGTTTCCTGACGTAATGTATTACTTTGTATTCTGAACAAATTAGCAAGAGGATTGAGCTAATATGTTTTAATCTAACATTTAAGCTACCAGAACAAAGAAATACCTCATAAATTTAACATACAGTAAAGCATTGCACTTGGTGTTTAACTATAAATTAAAGATAAATATCAAAAAAATAAATTCAACCAAAAAAACTCTCCTTCTGGACAAAGGAATACAAATTCACCTCAAATGTAACACACGATAAAGCCCAAACAAATGGAGTTAAAATGTAAGACTATATCCATACCGAGAAAGAGGCGAAGAACTTTGGAGTAATACCAAATCTTTCGGGAGAAAACTTAAAAACCTTACCTAGATGCCGGAGTAGATCCCTCGTTTCCGTTGATTTCACAATGCTCGTCGTCCTGCAGGTTCAGAGGAAGGAAACTCGATCGAGTTTTCTACAAGGGAGAAATGAGATTATGCCCTAATTTGTCGAAGATACCTCGCGTAATACAAAATCTTTTTCGAGCTACCTTCAAAACCTTACCTGGGTGAGGTGCGCCGGAGTAGATCCCAGGGACGGATCGATTTCACCTCGCGCGTCGTCGTCGGCAGCTACAGGAAATCGGATCGCGGGCGACTGTGAGAAGCGAACGAGGGAAATGAACCAGATGCCCTAATTTGTCTAAGTGTGGGATGATATAGCGTTTTTGTCCATTTTGATCGTTTCTGGAATGAAAGCGTCAATCCAGTATTTTACTTTTTTTTTTTTTTTTTAATTTAACTTTTCCAAAAATAAAAAATTAAATACCAGTAGTTACGAACACTTTACGTAACTAATGTTATTTTGACCAAATTCTACCATCTCATTATTTGTTACGATATTTTTTGCGTAACGACAGAACCTAAAACGTTGACCGGGTTTTTTTTTTTTCGTCACGGATTTTGTCGTAACTAATATATCTATTTGTTACGATTTTATTGTTACGGACTCTCAACCCGTGGTGAATAGCCCTTTTTTTGGTAGTGCAAGTTCAAACCAATTCCCGAGTCCAGTGCTATTGGTAACGAAGAAAGATGGAGATTTCATATTGATTTTCGTGAGTTGAACAAGGTGAAATATCCAATTCCAATCATTCATAATTTAGATAAGCTAGTTGAATCAATGGTCTTTTCAAGGATACACCTACATTTTTGGTACCACCAAATTCGAGTTCAAGAGGAATATGCCAAAGACGGCATTGTGCACACACAAAGGACACGAGTTCCTAGTAATGCCTTTCGGGGTCACTAATACACCGGAGACATTCCAGCTTGCGATGAATGATCTATTCCGACTCTATCTTTGTAAGATTGTACTCATTTTCTTTGACGACATATTGGTATATCACCATACGTGGGATGATAGCAGGAAATGTGTGTGCAGTTCAGACATGGCCTACTCTAACTTCGGCTTGGGGCATTCATGGTCTCCTAGGTTTGACAGAATATTATAAAAGGTTTATATGTGGATATAGGGCTCCTGCCAGGCCATTCACCGAACGAGATTTTAGTGGAGCTGATGGTTTAAATAGGGAGCCGGGAGTTCTTGTTCGGTGGCCTGGTTTTGATATACAAGACACAACGTGATTCATTTAAGAGGAGCTCCAACAACAATTGCAACTTTCCGCCGTAGGGACTAAGCGTCTTTCACGGGGGAGGCAATTGATACCGATGAATCCCTTCAATATCGGGAGGATCGACTGCTA